GGAAAAAACGGCGTGATTTAACGAAAAGTAATTAATATTGCATATCTCACATAGATTGACGTATGACAGATATTGAAAGTACATGTAATATAAATGTGCGGGTTATACCTTTGTTTTTTATAGTATTTTTCATATTGCTCTAATAAAATGAAAAATAGAGACACAAAAGAGGATTTCTACTTTGAAAGAGAATTTCTGCTAAAAGGGAGGAAGAGAAAAAAAGTATATTTTTGAGAATTAAAATATATAATTTAAAGTAAAATTAATTACAAATTTTCTCAAACTATAAATTAACAATTTACGCCACTTTATGTAGACCACGCACGAGATGTTTTTCTCTTGGTAGTTACGTTCATCATATTTATCTAATTAATCTAATAGCATCTCTTTCTTTATAAGCGCGTTCGTTTTTAACGTTATCTAGATCGCATCTCTAAAACTTGACGCTGTATCGCGCGAGTAGCCGGTTATTCCCGCCAACAATTACAGAGGTGTGGCAAGTAATGAGCGCGGCGAGCTAAAAAACAACCCCTGCAGAAAAAACCAGTTACAATATAAACTACCGATCGCGAGAGAGTGCGCGCGAAATTTTCCGAGCAACACGGCGGACGATGCAATTTTCGCGAGGTGTCGGTTTGCGCACGTTCCAACGAGCTGCGCGGATAAATAGTCGCGTAGCAGCGGCGGCGATTGTATCGCGAGTTACCGTAATTGGCTGCGTAACTACTCCCTTATGCTTGGAATGTTGATTGGCGAAATATAGCGAGGCGCTAAACAAATCGGATCCTTTCGGACGCAAAATCGGAACGATGAGTACGTACAAAAGTATCGCGCGCGGATGATGATGCAGAAAGTATCATTTTAACGACGGTCAATGCACTTTGCGAGATCTTCTTGGAATCTTGCTGAAAAAAACGAGCGCGCTGGCTCTTGGCAGCGCTGAGAGGCGAAAGGCGTAGGTGACGACCGGACCACCGTGCTCTGAGAAAGAAGTGGCGATTTTTTTTAATTTCCTCCGTGCCTTTATTTGCTCGCGCGCTTATACATGCGCGCTGCGAAAAAAGAGAATAACATGTGGGCGTGTAAAGTTTGGAGGAACGGTCGCGTATAATCGTGTAATTCATATACGTATGATTGCGTCGAAGATTAATGATGACAGTGACGACACACGTAATAGTTTGAATCTGGCGAAGATACCGTAAATCGAACCGTAATCAACGCTCGCCTTGTTTCAAAAGCGCCAGAATTTATTCGCGAGCTTTATAAACTTTTTTTACCCGTTCTTCTGATTACGAAACAAATCACCAAAACGTAAGATCGAAAATGTAGAAATTCGGTCTGCGATTCAGTTGCTGTTTGACGAACCGATAGTAACATTATAACATAATTTGCATAAGATAATTTAGATTGTTTCATTTCAGATTCGGAATATTTAAAATGATAAGTTAAAAAAGATAAATTAAAACTTTTTTCTGTGACTCTCTCGTTGTTTTTCTACGATAATAGAAAAATTATTTTAAAAATTACCGAGCAATTATAGTTTTATGAAAATTTTACGTTATCTAAGATAATAAAACATTTCTTGAAAAAAAAAAATTAAACTGTATATATTTAAAAACAATAATTCTTTTAGAATAAACGGACGAAACTGCAAAAAAGTAAACATGCTTAGCATCCTTACTCTTGACCAAGAATTATTATCCGATCCGCTTGATATAGCAAATCACTTTGCTATAACATTTGCAAAGAATTCAAGTGATGAGAATTTCAGTCTGTAATATTATAAAACTATAATTATAAAAATAACATTCATTTATAGAAAGTATTTAGAAAAATTGAATATTTGTATCAACACAGCTAAAATGTGGTTGCTAATGACCCTCGTGTTGAAACAACCTTAAAAATACAAATAAAAAAAAATAATTCTTTTAGTCTCATTCAAGTTGTAAAATGAATTCGCGTGTTGGTGAGAAATTGCTATTGGAGAACAAAGTCGGAAATGGAGAATTTGTCATTAAACTGTGCCGTTGTGTATCAGCGATATTAAAATTTCACAAACACACAGAGCCAAAAAATGCACTTTGCGTTTATTGATACACGAGAGAGTAAATGAAAACGCGAGGATCATTTGGTCCCGGTCGAAAGTTCATAAATGAATCGAAGCGCATGAATAATCGCGCGCGCTCGATGATGCGACCCTCTTTGTAACTCGTCGGGAAACTTTTCTGCACTTCAATTTGCAGTTTTCGTAGTTGCGCGATCGATCGGCTTCGCGATATCACACGAAGAGATATTACGGCCTTTGTTTCCGAGACCGCATTATTTCTTGTTCGCACAATGTTTTTCGTTTTTAAATTTTATAAAAAGAAACACGCACGCACGAAATACATCAAAACTTTTGTAATTTATGACAAAAATTGAAATTCAGAAAAAATATATTTCCGTGTTTTTTATGTATGTTCTCGTTTTCATACGTACTTTTACGGCAAAAAATTCTACGCAATAATTCTCGGGAGCACATGTAAGCTCGAAATTCTAATGTCAAATGTCAAACCTCCGTCAGATTTTATAGCTCGTTTACAAAGCAGCTTGTGTGCCCGCGTGCGAAAGCGCGCGTTTCGCGAAAGGAATAAATTACAGTTTACAAACTCATTTAAATGGACATCGGTGTAAAAATAAAAAACTGGCGTGTGTGCACTTCGTGAATTCGTGATGCATTCCAATTGCAGAAGCTTTCCAGTTGCGCCGTTGTATATGCAGTGACTATGAGAAGTTCCAGTACACAAAATTATTTCGCAAAAATTGTTTTTTTTAGCGCAACACTCATTGAGCGCTGACTGCATCATTCACAGAAACACGATAAAAAATTGTAATTACGTTTTGATGTAAAATTATACAAAATAAAGAATAGAATTACACAAAAAAAGAATATCCACGAACGGACAGGTCGGTTTTATGGATGGCGTTTGCTTCAGCTTATTACGATGCGCGTATGAAAGTAATATCGATCTTATCAGAGCGATAAAATTCAGCCACCCAAAATGTATATTTTCAATCCGCGTTCATTTCGTCGTACGATTAATTAACGAACGCGCGAATACGCGAGTATGAAGGACATCGTCGCGCAACATGTTTTCCGACTCATTAGCAACAAAGCGCGCGGATTTAAACTTGTTTCTCAAACGATAAAGTAACTCTTGCGGCTTTGTAACTCCGATAACGAGAGCCTGTGACTAATCGCTCACGAAAATTGTCACTTGACGCGTCACTTTACAATCGCGCCGCGATTTGTCAAGCGCATTGAAACGCGTCGTGAAACAAAAATTTAACGAAAGATTTTTAAAGGAAAACATCGATCTCTTGATGTAATTTTCATTGATCGCGATTATTATTACGCGACTTTGTCTCCGCTCGCAATCGCTCACGTCTTTCGCTTTGAAACTACGTGCTCCGAACATACGAGACTTGTATGCAACTTCGTCGTAACGAAGTTACGAGGCGCGAAATCTTGGTGAATCGACTCAACTGCGTCAAGAGAACGTACGTTCTTGTTGTAAGTATACAGTGTTAATATTGTATACAAAAGCTGACATATTCTCTCCGATTTTTGTGTGCGTATAATAACATGAAAACACAAATAAGATGATTATAAAACAATGTTTCTTTAAGTTTTCATTACACGTTTCTTTAAGTTTTATCACATTTCTGAGCAGCTTTTTATGTATAATTTTTCAGAATAACTTGCGATCAAAATAATTTCGCGTTTTGATTCGCTGTTTTATCGCAAAAACACAGAAATTAGGGACAAATTGCAACCGGAATTGATAAAAAAAAAGTACGTAATAGCTGTTCGCATTTTCCAAGATATTAAAATTTTTCGAAGATTATTTCCCTAAAAAAAGATAAGAACGCAATGCATCGCTATCAAGCATTTCACTCGAGAGTGGAAAAAGGATAAGAAGAACGGACGTGCATGAAACACACAGCACGCTTGTTCTTATCTCGAGACGGTGGCTAATGCAACGAAATAATGAATCAGGGGATTATCTACGCTTGTAGGGCGTGCCACGTGAGGGCCTGCGAGTTTTCAGTATTATCTTCGTCTCAAATACTTTCATCCTCCTCTTGTCTCTCTATTCCTTCGAGCACCTGAGCGTTTTGCTCGATAATCCGAGTGTCACTGTCGTGGCTAATCGCGGCGCGTATCGTAATGTATTAAAAGTGACGTGTTCACGTCTCGACAAGGAAAATGGAATAATACATGAGATGGTGCGACGAAATGAGATATATGAGGCTCGCGATGTGTCGCGCCGGTAGCAAAAGAAAAGCGAGTAGCTTTTGTCTTTTAGCAAATGTGCAATATTGTAAATAAGAAAAAAATATATAAATATTTGACTGTGCTGAAAATTCATCGATAAAATACATCGCGTGATTATTGTTTTTTTTTATCGTCAGTATAAAATAGTAAAAAAAATATATAATCAAATTTGTGCAAAATTTTTCTGTTTGTACATGTAGTTGGTGAGATTAATTTGTATTCAGTTGCTATATTGTTGTAATCGCGTAATTTTTTCAAAATACTTTTGAATATCTGTTGCTGAAAAAACACAATTTTATTTTAAATTAATTAAAAGATGGCGCGCGTGTGATGTATCATTCACATACCATTTGGAAAAAATTCACTTGAAATGCGATATGTTAATAGAAACGAATAAGATAACATGCACATATCAAAACTGCGAATGTACAAATATATATTCTAAAAAAATATATATTTATCCTAGTTTTAATTCAACAATGCGAACTATATTCTCCGTGTATATTTCTCAAATTTAAAATATGATCTTTTATAAATGGATTTTCCGTTGCTACAAAATTATTAAACCAATATCTATCTACGATAATTGATTACGAGTTAATTACGCATCTTTAATACGATATTCGTCGTACTACGTCATCATAACAAAGCGTTTTACTTTCTCAAAGTAACATCGACTCACCGGTGTAGTGTACGGTTGACAGGCCAGCCTGATGCCGTCGTGTCTCAGCTTCTCCTGCAGCAACATCCTCAGCTGCATTCTGGGTATCTTCACCAGCTCAGCCTTGCCCTCTTCGTACTCGTCCGCGAACTTGGTCAATTCCTGGCCACCGCTGGACGAGCTCGCGGTGGGTGACGCGCGTTGCGCCTCCTTGTCGCTGGGCGGCCGATCGGACGACGTTCTCGAAGATTTCGAGCTGACGTTGTCGCAGCTAACGTTATCGTTGTTCGCCTCCTCCAGTGTGAAGTACACGCTTGCGGCACCCTCCTCCCGCAGCGTCTTCACAGATTGCAGCAAACGAGCGCGGTGCTTCTGATTGAACACGCCGATCGCGTCGAGATCCGGATCGCCGATCTGCTTGCAGATCTCAAGGTCGTCGTAGCCGTTGTCGATGAACGACTCCGAGTATTGTCCGAGGTGGAGCGACCGCAGCCACTCGACCACGATGTTGCTCGCCATGGTCATCTCGGTTGATCTCCTTGTATGTTGCACGCGTGGGCTCGACTACGCCCCCGCTACGTTTGCTCTTTTCGTTCGGTTTCTGCTCTCCCTCTTTCTTACTTTGTCGTTTTCTCGTTTTGTTTTCTCCCCGTGGATCGTCCTTCGTCTTTTCTCACTGCAGGCAGACCGTTTGAAGATTCCGCGCGTCCTTATCCGTTGCACTTGGCAGCTACCATCTCGCGAGGCCGCCTTCCAGACGATGTAACGTTCATCGAGGCGTACGATTGTGTCGAGATTCAGTTGATTCGGTCGAATCAATGGAACTCGCGTTCTTTACCGTGACATCTTCCGACTGCAATATTAACGAAGGTTCCCGGTCACGGCGATTTGCGGCGGTCACGTTCGCCGTTTGACATGTACACCGCCGCCCGGCTCATTACGAGGTAATGGAATCGAACGCTCTGTCGTAATACTCGAAGTTCTCGTTCGTTCTTCCGCGTTTACCACGTTTTTCTTCCGCCCCTTCGAACAAATGCGAAGGCGGAGCGGGCACCGTGACGATCCGGAGGGTGAACGCCGGAACTCTCGTTCTACTTTTCGATAGACAAAGTACCAACACACGGAGAAAGATTCAGACAACTTCAGAGAAAAACGGTCGATTCTTTTAGTGTGGCACGGCCGCAAGCGTATCTCGATAAAATTCGACAAGCTCGCGTTCAAAGAACTTCTTTTCTTTCGCGCACTGTATTTTTCGACGTACTACAATTTTTTTTTTTTTTTTAACCGCGATCGACCGGTTATTCACGCGACGAACTCTTATTTCTGGTGTCAGAAACTTCGACGTACCTTGTTAAAGTTACCTCGTTCCGCCCCATCAGCAGCCACAGTGTCACAGAAGAGCTACCCGGAGTCTCCTCGGGATCCGACGATCAACGAGAAAATGACACGTAATTTCCGCTTTGCGTTATTGCGCGCACTACGTGCAAACCACGACGATCTTACCGTTTCGAGAAAGGTAATTTGTACGCGCTGGGATCACGTCGTCGATTCGAGCGATTCTCGTCGAAGAAGACACTCGCCGAAGCGAGCGATGATGTGATGGATCGATTGTCAAATCCGTAGAAGACATACGCGGATCTCACCGCGAAATCGATTATCGATTATCGATTGCGCGAAATGTGCAACAAAACTTAGCGAGCTCGGTTCGATTCAATAACCCGCGGTCGTTCGCTTTTCTCGGCGTGACCTTGAGAAACTTACGTCGAAATATTCTTGCGATCACTGTCACTCGATCCTTTAACCACGCGAGGAATCAGCAACCGTGGTTGTAAAAACGAACGAGAAGAATCTGCACTTGTAATAGAAAACGCGCGACGCGATCAAAAGAAAAAATCACGAGCCACGAAAAGAAAACCGCGCTCACTCATCGATGTCTCGCTGCAAAAGAACGTGACGCGGCGATTCCACCCGAAACGTCGGGTTCGGTGTTTTTCGGCGATCTTCGTGCGGTCACTCACGACGGCCCCGACTATTCCACGCGTTAAAGTTGTCTCTTTTTCGTCGAGCACGTATATAAAGTATGGAGGATCGAAAAAGATTGTCGTTTCGCTCGGAGTATTTTGTTTCAATATACTCACTGCGATCGTTCGCGACTTTTCGACAATTTAAAAAAAAGCGGCAAGATGAAACGACGAGAGGAAGTTCACTCAAGTGTCGCGCGGCTTCGCCGGCAAGTTCGCGTGCGGTTGGGAAAAAATAGCGGCTAAAATGATAACGGGGATTATGACGATGACCGGGGAAATCACGACGACAATTCGTGGGGAACAACGTGCCCGATGATCTTCGTCACGAGCTTACGTCGCTTCACAGTCAAAACGGGGAAGACATCTCGTCGTCGTCGTCGTCGTCGTCCGATGCTCGGCGAGACACGCGAAACGCAACACTACTGAACGAAACTACCGCGACGCGGCACACGGCTCGACTGACACGAGACACTCACCAGAGGGAGCGCCACTCTCCCTGCTCCGACATTTGGCCCCACTACCGTCGCGCCGGTTGTCTCGTTCTCTCCCCGTCGAGAGACTTCTTGATCCCCCACCGTTCGCGCAAACGTGCGATTTCCAGCTCGACGAGGGTGCCGAGGACGCTCATCGGACAAGGTAAGCTCGCAAGAAACTTTCCACGAATTTTCCGACGAAATTCGAGATGCCGGAATGTTACAGGCTCTCTCTTCGTTCTTAAGTCTCGAACGCGCGCAGCTCTGTATTCGCGTTTCAATTCTGTTACACAACATTTTCCCGGAGAGGGTAGATTTCATGTCTAAAAACAGTACACTTTGTTTTTAATATTTTTGTTGTTTTTATGAATTTTTTTGCGCAAATTCCGACTCTTTCACAAAGAAAAGATTCTGATTCTGATTAAAGGACGCGTTTTAATAAAGATAGTAATGAAATCCTTATCCCAATTAGTTTTTCTAATAAAACAGTATCGCAAAGTGCAAGAAAGAAAAGAAAGATTTCACGCCGATTTTTTTTATCTATTTTTCTCTCTACTTTCATAACGTTTACATTGCGTGATCGTTCGCAAGGCGCTGCGGTTGTTTGAAGGAGACTTAGTATCGATGACTATCTGCATGAATCGTAATCAGTGTCTTTGTCAGAATTGTGCATTTACAAATGAATGCCTCTACCGGCAATACAAATGCCGTTAACCCACGAGGCTAATAATGTGCAACACGCTGCCACTCAAACGGTCTTGGTATGTATGCGCTATTATATTACGCTCGAACGATATCGAGCCGCATTGGTTGCGGCGAACGCGACAGGATAGTTCGAGGGCCACTTCTTCCCTTTTTACCCCTCCGATCAAGAATCGAGTATCCTTGAAGGACGCGCAGTTTCCCTCATTGATACGTAAGTGTCGAGTATTTTTTTCCACCGAAAATTGAATAACATTCGAGAAATCGATCGAGTTAAAAATTATCAAATAAAAAACTTCTCTTTACAATTTTTTCGATTTCGAAGGTTGCGCATAATTTTTTTTTCCGCTACGCGTAGATGAAATTTTATCACGTGAAATTTTCTTTTTTTTTTTCGCGTCGAACAGCGACACCGCGAAAATCGATGGCGCGAGCACTACTCCGTAAAATCTCTATTAAATGACAATGCTAGTGGCGCGGAGCTCGCGCGAGCGATGATCACCGATATATGCGCGAGGTCCGAATTAATTGAATGATCGGCGTGGACGTACACCCCGTCCTGATATGACGGCAAAGCAGGGAGTGACAAGTAGCTCTCAATAACGTGATATGACATCGCGTGTCGTGGACAGGAAGGACCCTTTCAATGCAACCCTCGCTATTTCCTCGCTTTGGTCGAGTAATTTGCTTTCGGGAACAGAGGGATGAGATCGGAAGACGAGTCACCTGTCAATATATTAACTCGTTTCCGCAATACCGTGAATTATAATGAAACGGCAAAATAAAGCTTCTATCGTTCGTCGACTTTCACATACTGCGCGCGCGCCCACACACATACGCACACAGAGAGTGCGCGTTCCAAATAATTTATCATTGTATACCAAATTTCACCCGGTATTCGGATACTCTTGATTATGTAGAGTAAATGACGTTATATCGGGAATCTCTTTTTGGGTTCATTATTGATGTCAAGTGGCGTAATGGGCTCCATTAAAATATTCCGCGCTCAACGAAATTTCGCGCAACCGCGATATGTGGACACTCGGATGCATTATCATATTCCACGGATATTTTAATAGCCATCGGATGGCATGATCATCCCGTGTATAAAAAAAATATCTCCGAATTAATCTGAGTAAAACCGCGAAAACACTCCGATGTGTTAAATTTTGACGTATACTAGTGATTAAATCCCTTTGTAATTTATCTATGACTTTTCTTTCTTTCAATTCGCTATAGCAAATCCGCATTCGTGCAAATAACGCGTAAATCAAATCATTATCTTGGTCATTAACAGGTCATTAATTTCGCGAACAGGGGTGCGGAAGATTAACATTCCGACGATTGTCTGAATATGATAAAGCATGACCTCTCCGCGAACGACCACCGCATACAGAGCAGGATAAACGTAGGGTTCTGCCGCGGATTCTGGCTAGGTACTCGGCTTATCTATAATCGGTGCGTCGACAAAGCATGACGTTAGCAAGAATTCGTCGGCATATGTGTGGCGTTATAAAAGATCGCGTATTAAAGAAATTTTTAATGAGAAATTAGTATAAGATGATTAACGGGACTATTATATAGGATCTAGTAGGAATATTATTCGTGTGAAAATAACGTGCGTGGAAAATAATCCGTAGGACAATACGTTCTTGCAATTCATTCTCGTCTTGTTTACTGTTCTTTTTTTTGTTACCGAGATATATCATTTTTACGTCATCGGCACAATATTCGACGTCTGACTATATACCGATATAAATTCCGATCGATACTCCGGCCGGCTTTTAATCCTGTAATTTTATACGACTGCAGTCTCGCAGTGTTTACGAGTCCAGTAGACAGCGTGTTTACCGTATATTTTACCGTTTTGTGTTGTCAAAACAATCAATAAAAAGTGGCGTTTCCTGTTTTGCCGCAGGAGCTCTCAGCCTGCGACATCGCAACCGGAATTACAGCTACGCGTGCGCGCGTGGCGATCGACGTGTTGCGTTTGAAGAGTAAGAATGTTTGAAACTTCACACGAGTCGTTGCGGAATGGCCGAGAAACGATGATCGAAAATTGTCAACGTTATCTGTCGATTCGTTTGACCGCGACCGGGGAAGGAAACACGCTGCGAAATGTCATAAACAACCGGTCGTAAACAACGAGTTTTCGCGCTCCACGAATATATAAAAACCCGAACGAGCCAAGCTTAGGGAGCAAACGATCGTGTAGAAAAAACAACAGCAGCAACGGTACACGTGACTTTATAAGCGTTATACGTGCATATACATCAGCCGCGTTAACTGTCGATATAAAAATCCAAGAGAAAATATTCCAGCGCGGATCTTTTGCACGTCGGTTCGCTGTACGTGAGACGCTCGGTCACGCTATCGTAATTAAATAGACGAGGTTACTCGCGCATCGTATTTCAGGGAGTGATTCATCGTCGCTAGACGAGCCCTCCGTTTTTATCCTGTGTCATTAACGGTTTACGGCGCGCAACCGGCCCAGATTGCGCACGTCCGACGACAACGCAGGCATTGTGGCAACAATTTTTCGACTCCGTTCTGCTACATTACGCGACTCTCGCGTCGTTCCGAATCCCGGACGGAGCGCGCCGCGCGCGTTGCGATTTATCGTCCCGCCGATATATTTCACCCCAAAAAAGAGTCCCGACGGCAGCGCACCGTCCGTTTTTCGTAGCCCCTTTTCCCTTCTCCCACGCGAATAATTTCGTGACATTTATCGTTCGAGGCAATACGCTCGTAAACACAGGGCGAATACGAAGCGCACTGTTCCGTATGTATCTCTACGATGCTTGCAGCCCGTAAAAGCGCGGCTTTCGTGAAGGAAAGGAAATTTCGCGAGGACAACGCTTGGCGACGGATCGTAAACGAGCGGGCAGTAAATGATAATGATAGCTGGGACCGCGTTTCTCCGCATTTCTATGAAAACGTTACTCACTGCGAATATCTCGGCGCAGTCCCGGTAACACGAGACTAATTTCTGTTTTTCCCCCCGGTGCGCGCCTTACGTAGCGCGAGAGAATAAGGGAGAGGGGACCGAGAGATGCCTTGGAATCTGCGTAATTAAGCGAGGGTCTCGCGAATAAATTTACATCGTCTGTAAATCTTTCACATTAGATAAATGCTCACAATTAGCCTCGCTCGCCTGCCGTTGCGATCCGAAAGGGGCATTTCGGATTTCGCGAAGGCTGTGTCCCGTTTTGGTAATTAAATAATGTTGCAGCTGTTATAATTGTGTGCGCGCGCGCGAACAAGAGAATAGTTCTTTTATTTTAATCGCGCGTGTTTGCAATTTATTTATATTGATTATTTCTTCGTTAATTATCGCTTCGACTGTACATGCGCACTGATTATTAACTTTGAATTGACAAATTCTATAGATAAACTAGGTCGGTCAATTCGATAAATTTCTGTGTGAAGTTGTTTCCCTGTATGAACTATTTACGATGTTTACGTGAAATTATTTTCAAGCTGAAAAGCATAAAACTTTTTTAAAAAATTTCGAAACCACTATAGATAATATCTTTGTTATGTAATAAAACATGTAGGAATTTATTTTTTAAATAAAACAGGTGTCACAGTTGCAATAAATTGAATGTGTGTGTGTCTGTGCATTGCAGGAAGTCCGCGGTGTCTTGGTACCGAGCTACTTTGCTGAGAACGGACTTCGGAGTGATATCAGCGATGGCGGTTTAACGACACCGTAACCCCGGTCGTAGATGGAAGGAATGCGCCTCAATTCTGGACCGGATGCATAAATGGGCCGTCCTTGTGCCCGGAAAAGCTCGGAGTTAATTCAGCGACCCAGTGAAAGTCGTAAAATAGTGCGTGACTGCCGATTTTCCAGCACGGGGAAAGATGAGGAAGCGCATATACATACGTATGTAGGTAAGTATGCACATACAAATATGTTTCCCGAGAACATGTGGAGCTTTTTGGAGGAACGTGCGTGCGCATAGTATACGGTATTTGCACGCGCTCTTGTATACAGGACGTCTCAAGTATAACACGTTTTAATCTCGCATTTCTCTCTATTTCAATTTATTCATTTCTTAAATAAAATGATAAATTGTTAGTTTATTATGATAATCTCCTTTGATAATCTCCTAATTTTTCCGTATTTTTCTATTTAGTATAAGTCTCGGTAATCAAATTCGATAATCAAATGTTTGGTTCCAAAACCATAGCTTTAGTAAACGACGATGAAACTTTTCTTTCTTTTTATATTTTAGATTTTCTTGTTTAAATCTTCAACAAACCATAGAAAAAAAGAAATTTATGAATTTGCACTTGAACTACCGCTATGTTTCTGAGATTCCTCTTTAAGTTCTATTATGATTATTTGAGTTATCCTATATACCTAAGGGGTCGATCCAAGTAGTTTACCTTAAATTCAGTGGATTCTGCCGTGAGCAAAGCACGTACGTCTTCTACGACTACAGATACCATTACGAAGATGACGGCAGGCAACTGAAAAAAGTACGCCGTTATCCGGTGGTTTTTCTACGCGAGACGAAAAGAGAAGTGTGTTTTTCTCTCTCCAAACACACAAATAGAATACTGTTATATATTTCTGCGCGTAAACTCGAGATATAAAAATTGTTTTCATTATTTTGCAAATGTCGACAATCGGCAACAAAAATAAAAAAAAAAAAAGGGTACCGATAAAATTATACCGATGAGATTGCGTTTCTTGCCGACCTTTTCGATATATCTATATTTTCTCGATCGTTCAGACGTAAAAGCAAGTTACGAAACGGGGAGGGAATCAAGTATAAAGCCGAGATCACAGCCGGAGGCGGTGCGAAACGGTTATGTGGTTGTCGAGTCTGCTAAAGCACAAGGTCAAAGTTTCGGCAATTTGGGATGCGATGCGGGTAAGGAGGTATAGCAACTTTAATCACTTTCGAATCGGGGTAAATCTACTCTCGCGTATATATATATCTCGAACCCGCAGGATCATATCGCGTGTATAGTTATTGCTTTATGAGAAGATTTTAGATATAGATATATATATGATATATACATGTAAGAGAGAGGGTATATCGTGGGAAAAAATCAAAAAGGAGAGAAAACGATCGAATTAACCAGACAGTTGACAATTTATTTTTCTACGAGCTATAACAGTTCACACAGCTTTTTACACTTTTGCGCTTACGAGTATAATTTTCTTCGCAAATCGATTTATTATCTAAACTTGTGAATTAAGCGTGATTAAAGCGAGACGATTTCTGTGGTTAACATTTTCATGAATGAAATTGTGATGTATATAAATGCGCACAAATATTCCTCTCCGCGTTTGATTGTATCATTCCGTTTGGAATACGACTAAGACTCGAGAACGTTTTGCAAGCGAGATATATCTTCAAAGAATTATTAGCAATCTTCTTTTCTATCTGTGCCGGATTACCATAACAGGAAGTATTGAATAAATTCTCGTATTTCTTATCTCCATCGCGCGCTCGCTCGTTCACTTCGCATGATTATTCATCTCTTTCCTCGGACCTTAGCGCGTCGTGTTACTTTCACGCCTTCAAAATGCATCATCCCTCCTTCCTTCTCCGTTCCCTTGTAGTCATTCTTGTCGAAAGCGCGAAAGTAAATGCTGATATATACGTCATTTCTCTCGATCTCTTTCATTTCGCTACGGTTTTCGGCGGAATTTTAATCGGGGTCACAACGATTCTCCTCGCAAACTCTTTGTGTATATGTGTGTGTGCGAGTCCATAAATATCAAGTGAAACGCAGGATAAATGGGTGTGGCGTGACTCGGAGCCGGCCAGTTGCTGTGCGAGATTTCGAAAACGGTAGATGTATCGCATCGGCGTGCGCGGATCGAAACGTCGCACGCGATAGATGTCTTCTTCGGGATGCTCAGCTTAGAGGAATTTTTTCGCCGGTATTGGATACGAGTATCCCTCGCTCGAGGGCTCGAGGTGAAGCTCTGCACCCCCGTGGCCGATAACATTATTAGCGGGATCGTTCACCGCCGAACTGAGGCCGCCGAGCACAGAGAATTCAATGTTTCCGCTTTCCAGTAAAGCACCACTACTAGCTCCTCCGATTTCAATTGATTGGGGTGGGGTGAACGCGACGGCGGGACCGATCGGCAGAGAGTGACTCGGTTCAGGGAAAGATTGGACTGAGACCGGAGCTGGAGAGTGAACCGCCACGGAAACAGGGTGCGGAACTGGAACCGGATGTGGCACGGGATGAGGCACGTGCACGGGCTGTGGAACTGGTACTGGAACTGGGCGCGGAACGGTGATCGGGATAGCCTTGGTGACGACGACCGGGTATGGTTGAGGTACTGGTACGGGGACCGGACGTTTTACTTCGACGGGTACGGGATGTGGCACCGGCACGGGAACTTTGCGCGTCACGGGAACGGGATGGGGCACGGGATACGGAACTGGTACCACGCGATTCACGATCTGTTTGTGAATGTGGTGCACGGGCTTGTATCCGAGGCCGAAACTTGACGCGTACACTCCTTGACCTTGCAAATATTCACCGTATCCGTGACCGTGCAAATATTCACCGTATCCGTGACCGTATCCATGACCGTATCCATGACCGTATCCATGACCGTATCCATGATGCACAATTTCGCCGTGGCTAATGGGAATACTCGGTCCATGATGCGCAAAACTGCCAGATCCTCCGGTGTAGACCGAATTGTGTAAAACGCCACGTTTTTCATGTTTTCTTTCTGGCGTTTCCGCGACGACGGCGGAGATGACTAACACTACAATCTGATAACAAATAGAAATAACTTAATAATTGTTATCAAAGAAAAAACTAACGTTTCTTTATATATAAATATAATATAAAAAATATACTGATACATAAAATATCATATGTATATTACGCTAAGTTTTAATTAAGTTAAAATTTGGGAAAAATTAAAAATCTTTTATTTTTAACTCGATATTATACTTGCTTTCGTCACGACAAAATAATAAAATGTTTTGTCTTGTGAAAAGTCGTGGAATTAAAATTTTCAAACACTTTTTGAACTTTCGACAAAAAGTCGTGGTACTTACGAGAAGTGACTTCATGGTTGTACCCGCCATGAGGAGATGAGTCTGAATGTGGTTGATATCATCCATTCGACGGTTTTTATACGGCGACGCCGGTCGGCACAACTACTTTCACTAGATATGCGCGGTAACACGCCCTCTGATCTGGACCCATCACGTTCTAAAATCTACCGAAAACTCTTTTGTAGTGACGCAACTGACTACAGTGAAGAAGATGCTCGGACAGATTGGTGAAAAGAACGCTCATAAATGTGACACCGTTCGATGTATCGCAAAATTGTATAACAAATTTATTCATTCAACAGGTTTGCGGTCGCGGTTATATTTATGATAATAAAGTTCACGTGATTTACATTTTTATGTGAAACAGGTGTGGTGAAATCACACGGAGTCACAAACGTGTCCGCAAAAATCAGATTAGTATTTTGTACGTAAACTAAAATTAAAATATCGTTGTTGTTGTTGTTTGTTATCCGTGATGCAGGTTGAAGAGGATTTATCGTTTTTCACGGGCGGATCGTCATAGGAAGTTTCGTTAATTGGACTGCACTTGCAGAGTCGCTGTCGCGTAAACAATATTTTTTTCCGGTATCTGGAAATGTCATTTCCACGTATAACACGATTGTTTTCAACGTCCGGCGTATAACAGTTTATACATACTCGCAGAATGCAAATATGCTTCGTCACAAGCGTGCGCGCTTCGCATATTATACAAACTTATCAACTGTTGTATTTTTAGTAGAAAAGATTATAAATACACAATAAGTACATAAATACGAAAATCCGTTAAATCTTCAATTACACAAATAAAACTGCAGTAACAAAGTTTAGATATTTATTCCACTCTGTTCTAGAATGTGTTTGTTTTGACACATTTTTGTATAAACACGTAATTCATCGTTACGTCGTTTCACGATGCACATTCAGAATTATAAAACGTATGATGCAATATCGTTGACATAAAAATCTTATAAATGCATGAAAAGAGGTAGGTCTCTTTAAGTCTATTATTTCGAAGAAACGTAACAAACTGCGCGTGACATGAATTTCTTTTGCGATATACGGATGTGAAATCTGCGACACAAAAAAAAAGACACAAGTTACCTAACGTTATATATGTAACAGCAGGTTAATATCGTTTTAGTCGCTTTATTTGTCGCGGTCAACCTGGTATAATTGCCCTTTTACTTACAATTTAGACGTCGGCGGCGCGCTAGAGAGTCCGACGATAAATCGGTAACCATACGGCGACAATTAGCAACGTCTCGTTGAGTGCGTTGTGAGAACCGAGCGCCATTTCGCAGTCGTAGTCCTAATTTCCTTACTTGCGAATTTAATTGGACTCAACGCGCGCAACGATCCAATATATCTCGCGGAGTGTGCATAGTTTGAGCATAAATGAATATTATTACGACTGATGACACATTGTTCCTCATTTATGATCGCGCAACTTCTCTTTGAGAGAGATTAAAAAACAAGCGTGTAAATAGTCGCGACGAACATTTCGGCTATCACAAATAAATAAAAGAAAAACGAACGAGAAAATCCGACTTCGTTTTTTGCAAAACTTGTTGTAATTTATTATTTAGTTAGTCGCAAAACGGCGTTATACAAACGTCAATGTACTAGGAAGGGAAGAAAGATCAATGTAAACACAAGGAAACAAGGTTTGTTTGAGAATAAACTAACGAGATTTTAACGATTTAGATTCGCGCTTGTGCGCACGGGGCGCATTTATAATTGCTTGCCGAACAGCTCTCTCATAATTAGCAGTTTTCCAAAGGATTTTCCCGGGCGCGAGAGTCCCGTTCGCGGGCGCTGCTAAGATTTATTTGCGTCATCCTTTTTATTCGTAGTGTTCGCGCGCGCACGCACGGAGCTGCTGCGCCGCCGCGCGTCGAGAAAAAGAGCAGAAAGTAAATGGAGACATATTCCTGTAGAAAAGCGCGGCGCGAAGCACGGTCGATGCAAGAGCGGGAGCTAATGTCAGAGATTAGAGGTAATCCGTTCTCGCTGGCAATCGTCGACGAGAGGATCCACCTCGTTCGCAACCGGGCGTTAGCTTCGATCTAGATACTGCAGGCGCTGTCGCAGTAGCGTTCGCCCGTCCCGTCGCTCTTTCCCTCCTTTTCTCTCTGTCCCTTTTCTTCGCCCGGTAGATACATTAGAAGGAATTACGGAGAGCGCGTTTCGAGTGACGCGGGCATTAAGACTGCGCGAGACACGGTACCGGCGGTAATTACACTAATTACAGAGTCGTTAGGATTCTTTATAAATGCTGCGCGCCTTTGTTGCTTTCCGCTTTGTTTTTTTTTTCTTCTTCTTTCTTGCGAACGCTTCCGCGAGAGCTTCGCGACCGCGAAAGAAACGTGCGCGCCGTGCCGCCGACAGCTTTATGGAAAATTTTGTGGTTTCCCTGCCCTTGTTTCCCTCGACCAAACAAGTTCCCGTTTGCATTTACCCCCCGTGCTACTTGGATGTTAATATATGCATTGCTGAGGGTTGCGTGGAATTTTGCGCTCTTTCTTTTTGCATTAATTGTTTGCGAACTCGCAATTTCTTACGCGCTTGTGTGTCAAGCTGTTGAAAGTAAATTTACAATTATTCAATACTAGAAATTAAATTGTTTCTCTATTGTAAGAAAATGTTTTGTATTTTTGTGTGCGTAAGGTTTTTAGTAAAAGGTTTTATATCGGAATTTAGAAATACCGTATATAGTTTGAAAAAAAATTTTGCCGAACAGGTATTTCCAAATTCGGTGAAAAAAAGACCATCGCGATTTTTTAGGTAAAACTTTATATGTTATTTTGTGTAAAAACGCGAGGAGGTCGTTGAACGCCAAAATTGGATCTTTCTCATTTAAATTGAAATCTCGTGGACACATCACGAACTTTCGTATTTCTCTACTTTCACTAAACCAGTTTTATCGAGCAAATAGAAAATATGCATTTGCTTGTGAACTCTCTTCTAGCCGATTTCGTTTTACCATACACATGAATAATAAATAGATTTTAGTATAATTAACACACACGTATAACGACACAGCGAAATCAGCTGTCGTTTACAAAATTTAAAACGGTCGTAAAGTCACGATTTTGCTTGTATAAATATTACATCATTTTCATAATTAAATGTGTGAACTGTAAAATAATAAAAAATTGGAATTTTCATATAGAAGTAAATTTCCGAATTTACGACGCACGTGCAAACGTAATGATTGTCAAATAGATGCTTGCATCAATCAAGATGTTTGCAAATTCGCGTTATCGCAAGTTGCACTTCATAAATCAGGAGCGATTACGCGACAAAATATTGCGCGATGCTCCGGTGAATGTCTTGACATGTTTACATTCGTCGGGAATAACGTACTTTTGTGCGCGCTCACAAAGGGAAGTTCGTAAACCTCTTTCGCGGATTCGCACGTCGACATTGTTTTACGACGCTCGGGATGGTAAAGACGACGACGACGAGACGAAGAACGACAGACGTCGTCGCGCTGAATGGCGCGAGTGCTCGACGCGGGAAAAGTTGACGGTAAGAACTCGATTCCGCAACCACCGCTCGAAATAAAAACTTTTCACGCCGACTTTTTCCGCGATGGATCTCGTTGTCGGCGCGGCGCATTCGACGTTTTCGCGCGATCCCGACGTTCCGCGCAAATTGCAACCGCCGACAATCAAACTTATCCGCCAGTGCGAGACACCGTAAAACGACGGAGAGGCCCGTAACTTCGCGCACCCCCGTCGAGTCCGTTTCTCGCGGCGAAACGATTTCCGCGACGAATTTTTAAGAACTCTCGGACAAGACGGGGTTTGTCGTTTCTGGAAATTTGAAAGTAGTTTCGTGCTGCTATTATTTGTTCTTAAAGTGTATACTGTGACTCCTGCATGAATCGTGAACGCGACAGTAAAACTAGGTGTAATACTTTGCAGTGAAAACAAAAGTTTATTGGATTTTCTGAACTGCGAATATGAAGTTAACATATACGATTGTCTTACTCCGCAAAAAGAAAATTTTTTGTAGACGGGAGAGTGACTTAAGAAAATGTTATCTTCGACGATGCGTCGCTGCGATCAAAAGTTTCGGAAAGTCTCTGTGTGCAACTGTATGTATATCGTTTATGTACACGAGGAAATACGGCGCCAGTCGAGCGATTTGCGGCGTGAGCGTTCGTGAAATATTTCGCGTTGCTTTTTATCGAATGCGTTTCGCAAATCGAATTTACCGTGGAACAAGCGACGAGTTTTCGTAAATTACCGACAACTCTCGGAATTGTTTCATAACCGAAATGAATTCTAAGACGCTATTGGAAAAGGATGCAGGCTCTGCAAAGGCGATGCGAACTCGCATCGGCTGGTAATCGTATTAAAAGGGGTGAAGCACCTAAGATCGAAACTTTCGCGAGCGAGGTAACGCGTAAAAGAGCCGTGGGAGAGAGAGAGAGAGAGGGATATAGTAGAGGATGAGTCAAGCGGTAAAAGAGGGACCCGCGAAGAGGAGACAGAAAGAGAAGGATGAAGGGAGAAAATAATGGGGGAGAGAGCCTCGACAAGAGAGCGACAGACTCGCTTTGAGTCCGCCCTGAGGACTTCTTTCAGGAATTTTGTCGCGGCGGAGCCGCCCGTCGTTTTATCCGTCGTGACTAACGGAGCGTTAATCCTCGAAACGAATCGCTAAAAAACAGTTTATTTTACGTCGCGCGGGAAAGCTCTGCTCCCTTCGATATTCTTTTACAAACGAGACTATCGGCCGATACTTGGTAAAAAGAAAGAAACGAAAAAATGTCTCGGAGGCGGATATTGATTCTTTAATCGTCCAAATCGGAAGAGAAATATTCCTTCTCGAATAATATTTCCGTAATATCTCTCTTGGTAATGCACACGGCTGATAAAATGGAAGTACCAACCTGATTCATTCAATTTGAGAAAGGCTCAGCTTAACACAGATATTGCGGAAGAAATATATTTTAGAGCCGGCTTTTAGCGACGTATAATTTCAAGAAATATACGAGTATAAATTGCTATAATCGCAGATGCAAATTGGCGATGTACTATATATATGTATACACACGCGCGGAAATCAGATGCCACAG